TATCTTGTTCCAAATCACTAAACAAAGCTAAGAAACTAAGCTTATAGACAAATATGTTCAAATGTTGCCCTGTAAACTTTAAGATTCAAAGTTTCATGATAGAATGAGTTAAAACAAAATTTGAACTCATAGAAAATACCAAATAATTTATTACACAAAGAAAAAGGGGCCGTTTGGCAAGTCTTTTTGGGAAGATCTTCTGGTAGCTCTGACAGTCAAAAGACGCATTGAGCTTTTGCATTAAGATCTGAGCAGCCTGAAGCCCCTTTGGTTAAGGCATGTCTTTTCGCGCATCTTTCCACGTGAAGACGAATAGAAGAAAAAACAACACAAAATCTCCTTTTAGAGCTTCCCGAAAATTGCCCAATTTAGGCTTCTTGCATCTTTTCGGCACATCGGCTTTTGGCAGCTAGATCTGCCACAAACCAAACGGGAAAAGACCGAATCCGGTCTGCTGGCTTGTAAATAGCCGATAGACYGAACAAAAAGACATGCCAAACGGGGCCTAATATTTAACTTCATGCTCGAAATGAATATTGAACTAGCTATTGATCAAAAAAAAAATGAATATTGAACTAGCTCAAAGTGGTAATCACATAAGTTAGGCAGGCAATAACATTGTTACGCCACACATCTACAATATTATCACCAACTTATGTTATAATACCATCTCTTACACTCCATATAGTGCTGGTAGTATTCACCATGGTTTTCAAAACCGAACCGGACTGGACGGTCGGACAGGAAAAAACGGGAACTAATCACCTGACCGGTTCCTTTTTACCCCCAGAACCATCTTTTTGGCCAAAAACTGTTGATTTAATCAGCAAACCACTGACCTAGGCGGTCGAACTGCTCGAACCGTCCAGCGGTTTTTGGCCGTTTTTTATTTTTTTTATTTCTTTTGTTAGAATGGGTCATTCGTTCGGTTCGAATGGTTGGACCATTCAACCCAAGAACCRAACCCTTGAACAGTTTGTTGTCAAGTTCAGTTTGAAAAACCTAGGTGTTCACTGAAGACCATGTATGTCATGGAAACTATCTCTTGTACTCCACATAGTATTGGTAGTGTTCATTGGGGAATATGTTGATTCCGGTGAAATTTGTGTTGATGCTCATGGAAATGGAAATATGTCATGGAAATATTAGGGAAATTAGGGACATTTTTAAACCATGTTTAACATTTATCATAACTGGAACCGACCAACTTCATTTTAAAACCAACCACTTTGGGTCAAATCGATTCAGTTTAGTTGGTTTGGTCAGTTTATTCTATTTTATGAACAGCCCTTTAGCATTAGCTATGCAAATAGACTCTTTTGGCTATCTAAGTATATTACAGAATGCTCTCTAATAKAAGCTTTTTTTTATCAGCAATACAAAAATTGATCCATTAGATTAAAAAAACATATACAACAAGAAGTTGTGGGCAGAAAACAAGAACTAATACAAGTTTAGAAGAATTAATACAAGTTTATATTTGTATTTCTTATTCACATTTTATAGCATCAGAAGCCAAAAAGTAAAGAATATTCCCAACCCATACTGAGATTGCCAAATATGTTTTGGCTTTCAGCTTGGTACATTATTGTACCTAGTCTCAAATGTTAGAATGCATCTGCAACACGAATATGACATAGCTGTATGATTATTCTTGAATTATTTATTTCKTACATAGATAGTGTCTTGTTTTATTCAGCTCATGTTTACAACAGATAATTGTTCTAGAATTATCCGATTGTTACATGCATTTTCTCTGTGTTTTAAGTCCTTTTTCTTAGTGTTCTTTATGCCTCAATTGTCGGTGTCTTTAGTATTTGAGGGAGCAGCARAGATTAAAGAACAGTTATGGTTTTCGTAACTCTAGAATTACTGGGAAAAAATATGATGTCTTTATCTGAAATATTTCTTAAGAATTTCTAGTTTTTTTATGAGTAATTTCTAGTTATCTTTTACACCACTAGAAAAATCCGAAACAATCTTACAGCTTACAAGATGATTTACAATACAATTCAATTCAAACCCCTTACGACTTACAATCTGATTACTATTTTCAGAATAATGGCTGAGMTAGCAGGATATCATTCACCAACAGTGTAAGTTTGCCAGTCTGTCGAACACCCAAGCAGTATGATCAAAAGAAATAGACACTTTTCATTTTCATTTATAGAAATTAAAAATTAATAATAATAATAATAATAATAATAATAATAAGATCATAATCCAACCCCCAGTAAAAGACATATAATCAAGATCAAGAATCACATACCTTATAATACTGAAGGGCCCTGTTAAGATCTCCTGCCTCCATGAAAAGGCCAGCAAGATTTGACCATGCAATAGCAAAAGTTGGTTGTATGCGGAGAGCCTCAAGATAACAATTGTAAGCCTATATAGAAATTAAATGGAAGCACAGATATTATACCAAGAAATTAATCAAGTCTAAAATGATAATATTGAACTTCAGAAATTTTAGGATTAAAGAAACATTAACCAATTGTGTAGCCTGCCCCTCTATATGGCCAAATCAAGCAAAGCTGATTATATCAAATTACAGAAATCTTAAGTCTCACAAAATGACAAAACAATGAATAATTAATATTGTACAGAACAAGCCCCATACCAAATGCATGCATGAATAAAAGTACGACCTACTTTTTGGTATCTTAAATTATAGTAATAGCACATTAAGAGTAACTATTGCAAGCAAAAGTGCCCACTAGAATCAAGTTAAAGGTGAATCAACCAAGACTACAGTTTTACCAGTGATGGAGCAGAATCTTTTATTCGGTAATGCAAATGCACCCAAATGCAAGTATCTCACAGTATTAGATTTAAGGATACAATAAAAATCAAACACTTGTATAAGTATCATTAATAAAAAAAAAAGCCCAAAATACTTRAAGTCAAAATAATTTACAACTTGAACAGAACAGCTGAAAACTTCCTGGGAAATGGATTATTTGCAATAAACCGCAGGAAATCCACAAAAGAAGGGAAAGCACTTCGTAGGAAATAAATTATTTGCAAGAGAACAGACAAAGAGACTTTGAAATGCTAATAAAGATCAATTTTCATCAGAAGTAACCCAGAAAATACTTCAATCAATGCCAAAATGATCTTTAAAACAACGAATTTCATTCTTTCGAAACAACAAATGGATGTGGTGATAATTTGGAAAAAACAAATATGTATGTACCACATCCATCATATCACCCCCCCCCAAAAAAAAAAAACAATTGCATATAAACTCAAGAGGGGAACTATAAGAAAGTATAAAGATCTTCAACTACGTTTCTTTTAACTTACTTCTTGGACTAACCCTTGCGCTTTCATCAGATTCCCAAGATTACTGTGTGCATCAACCTAATGCCAAGTTAACAGATTATTGTTAACAGAGTCCCCAAGAATGATATAGACAGTAAAAAATAACTAATATGATGCAAGACTCTACCAAGCGAGGATTTAATGCAAGAGCCTGGCGACAACACTGGGCTGCCTCATTAAGTCTTCCTTTCCTCATGTAAGCACTAGCCAAGTTTGACCATGCATCACAGAAGTTTGGGCGAAGCTGCATAAAGTAATACTACTAAATACATTTCTCAAGACAATACAAACAAATAATTCCCCAAAAAATTCAAAACCAATAAACAATACATTTATGATCATCAAGCAACATTGTCCACACATGTGAGAAAAATTTCATCTATGTACTGTTCTGTCAGGCAGTGTTATCAAGGTGTCAACCAGTTACTAATAACTGGTCCGTCAATGCTTACTTAGCACAGTTGCTTGGGATAACTAAGCATTGACTAGGTTGAATAGCTGATTAACAACCAGYCAACCTARTTAACCATAAGTTATTTTAAAGCTTTATTGGTTTTTGTTTGTTTATTATTAGTTGCTTTAAGCATTCAATGCTTTATTTTTTTTATTACTATATTATTTTGAAGCATTTAGCACACCCCAGATAGCAAGGACAAGGCTTAGATGATGATGATAATGATGATGATGAGTTGCTTTAAAGCATTCACAAGGGCACAAGATCAGCAATGACATATATTATATGGCGAAAGAAAAACAGTTGAATTCCTTCAAAGTTGTTTTCAGCATAGTTTATCCAAACTTATTTTGATATGGATAAGAAGGTTGTGCACCTTATGATAAAATTGGATTGTATGGATTACAAAAGGCAGGTAAATGAGTTCTTAAAAATTGTAAAACCAATACCTCGGTCATTTTAAAATTGAAAAAGGTTTATACATGTCTCAAGGAGTTATTACAGGAAAGAAACCATTTTCTTTTTTTTATCTTTTTCAGTCAACTCACTTAGCCTAACAATAGTTATTGTCAATAAAAATTTTTCTCGCCTCTAAACATATTAGTGCATTTAGTTACAGATCAAAATGGGCTCTTCTATGCTCACAATTTTTAAGGTCACCTCATAATCTCACATGTCATTATCCAGACAATCCCATAGGCTTATGCTTAGTTTCTTATCAAATTAACATAGCTATTGTTATTGATCAAAAAAAATGCTAGATATTTTTTTTGATGAATAAAAAACAAGATAGATATTGTTTACTTAAACATGGAAGTCCCACAGAAGGTAATCTGACAGGTGGAATYCAAAGATCATCCTTTTCTTATATCAAAATGTTTGAACAAATTTCCCTTTCTGTGATTCACTCAGCAATTTTAATGGATACTTGGCATATTTCTTAATGCCTCTTTGTTTATGGATTTCATCAAGAACATAGTATTGTGAGTCCAGCTTTTAGAAAATCCTTTGGGACATGTTTTTCAATTATTGATACCACTGCTCCATAATTTTTAGTAATAAAATAAAATTCATTAATGAAAGAAGGGATACAAGGAAAACCAGAAGTTACCCAAGAGAAAAGGAAACAAGAAAAGTCAAAAAACCTCTCTCTCATCAACACAAAAACCCACCATGCGATAGATAGATATCATATACCAATTTACCAACCAAAACCAACAAACAAAAGCACCAAAAAACACAACCATACCCCATAATCCATCTTGAATAGCAACATAACCCAACCATCTAAGAGAAGCAGAAATAAGCAAACCCCTATCTTCCCAGTAACATCCCCACAGGATCAAAAACAAACATAAGATTCCCTTCTTTTGGCCTTCCCTGTGTTTCATCACCGTTTTATTTGGTTCAATCTCAATTAGCCCTCATTTTAATCTAAAAAAGAGCCAAAGACAATTGACACCGAAACAGGTTGAYGCTTGTTTTGATTCTTGAATCTTCTGACTGGATCATCCTTTCTGACCCCCAGCAAATCCCTAGTTTCCTCATTAATCTTTTCCGATTCCAACACTGTATTCTTCTCAAAAAGCTGTTCTGCTTCCAAAATTTCATCCTTATCAATGTTGTATCTTGTGCATCCATCAGGTAACTGTCCATCATTAATATCTTTATGTCGAACTATTTTCTTCAATGCCACCGCCGGACTCTCTCAAGGGTAGTGAGTGTCTTGTCTGTCTTCCAATTCTTTGAATTTCTTCCTAGCAAACTCCTCTCCTCCCAATATAAATATTACAAGAGCTTTGCTTACTTCTAATTCTATAGTTCAATTTTCCTTCAGCCCCTCATTTGAACTTTTCTCACTTCACAAAACTTTGCCATGGTCATCATTCCCAGCCTTGTTAACAATGATCTCATTATGAAAACACTCATTGATGCCAACCCTGCACTCTTCTATCTGTCTACCTCCCCCTTCCCCATCTTTGTCTACATTTTCTGCCATCTCTAAATTTCCAACAAAACCCTTGTYCCTGTCAAGTTCCTTCCCTGCGTCTAACCTGTCTTCTGTTTCAACGACTCCAACCTTTTAACCCATCTCTTCTTTTCCCCCTCTCCAACCTTAACTACAATCTCCTTTTCACCCCCAACAACTCCTTCCTTACCATTTGCCAAGGCTACTTACTACTCACATAATCATATCTGATGTTTACCCCTTTTCCAGGCAATAAACTATTACCATTTGTTCCCAACATGCCTCTTATTCAGGGCACTCTTCCTTTTGTTGCATCCCAACCTCCTCTTTTAGTATCCTTTCCTCCTCTCCATAATTGCATCTTGTGGTATACCAAACATACCCATGCTCCTTTATTTTCTTTTCTCGTACACAACAATTTCTAGAAAACAACATTGTGACACCAACTCTGGAGTTATAAACCTGCACCTTCAGAGCAGAAGCAGTAGTACAAACAGACCAATTAGAGCACTACGTAAGGCCCAAATTAAGTACATGAAAAAATACCTATCTGATGTTATGATACAAAAATAGATTTTGTTATCTGGATTTGTGTCAGTAATTTCTTCCTTCTCTGGTAGATTTCAATCCCCACCCCACCTGGCAGAATTCAGGTGTCTAGAAAGAAGAAGAAGCATGGCTAATTTCATTACAGATAAACGTACAGAATGTGAGCTAACAGGTATTACATGGTAACAACTGGTACTTGGACTCCATATACAGTTGTATCATAGAGGTTAATCTCACCATAAACTGATGACTGAAAGGAAAATATTAAGAATATCCTATAAACTGGAGCTATATGCAGTTATCTATACAAAAACCTAAATGAGCTTTTTACCCTGGCCTCCAACCTCCCTTCCCTGGGACACGGGAACCCTCTAATTTGTTTGATGCATGACACAGGGATTTGAACTGCTAATCCTAAGCTCTGTTTGCTCTGTCTATAGTCCTTCACTCTAAGGAGCAGAAATTTTCCTGCTAATTGTTTTTTGTGAACACGCACCAGCAAATGTTATCTGACTTACAGTATCCCCTTGATGTTGATATGTGATTTTTACATTGACAATTATTTTTTTATCTCCATTAGTACAAAGGTGCGTGACTTGGTTCAATGACTAGATATCTCAAGAGTCAAGAGTTAGATARGACGGGGGAAAATCAAATATAACAAGCAACAGTTAATGGATTATTAGCAATTTAGCATTTCCATTAGATGCATCAACTCATCCCAGATATATCAATAAATACTGGAACGATTAAATTTAAAAGAAAATTTTGGAACAATTTAATTTGATTTCTTGCCTCCTAAAATGTCTATTTTATACTTAATAACATGAAGGTATCCAATGATGCTAGCGTTTTCAATAAAAAAAMYWAAAAAAAAAAAACCTATCCAATAATGCAACAAAAACAGGAATAGACTACCCATTTACTGGATTTATACCCTACGGGAGCATACATACCTCAATAGCAATTAAATAATAGCGGATTGCAAGATCAATGTTGCCCTTCTCCTGCATTGAGGAAAATATTTATTATTAGAACCCAGACAAAAAATTCAACATTAATGATATGCCTGGTGATGGTAAAACCATAAAAGTGGTACCAATAGTTACCTTCCAAGCATTTGCCATATTCCCAAAACACTCGGCAAAATGCGGCTCAATCCGAAGAGCTTCTTCATTTTTTGCAATGCACATATCAAAATCATGCAACTGGAAAAAAATGGCAAGACATATTTAGATAAATTTGAAAATCTCCATGAACCAGATGCAAATTTGAAAGTTCAATTATGTGCAATGACACCCAGATACCATTACAAGGGTGCTATATCGTGTTGGATACTTCAATTTTTAGTGTAAATTTTGTATCTGATACCATATCCAGTTGTGTCCTTGCCATATCCAGGTAACATAAATTATGTGGCAAAACATCACTATGAACTAAAAGAAAAGACTTGTGGCTAGAAAAAGCTTTCTTATAACAACCTCATTGTTAAAAAGAAATGTAATTTTTTATTAATATATCCAATGTTCAAAATACCAGATTGGGCATAGAACCAGAAAAGGGAGAGGTTGATGGGTCAGAGGTTTCAGCCGTGGTCAAACCGGAGTCAAACCCTGATGACATAATATATCACATATATAGTTAAACACTATATATTATTATGAAAACATCACTTAAAAAATTACCTGATAGTGAATTGCACCCAAAAGGAGAAGATTATCTGTTCGTCGTGGGTTTCGCTCATACACAGCATTGCTGTGTTCCAGTGCCTGTTTATAGTTGCCAGCCTTGTACTTCTGATGAGCAAGGGCCAATAGCATGTCTTCATCAACTACAACATAGAAACAGTAAAAAGTGTTATTCAGAAACAGTTGAAAAATCTGGCAAGTTTGAATCTTTTAAGCACAAAAGTAACTAGTAAGCAGTAGAAGAGTAGCATAACACCAAATGCCCAAAGATCTACTACCTATTGTGGAGAGTCAAATCCACTTGTACTAAAACCACAAGATAAGAAGTTAACATTGGCAACCATCAGACATGGATTATTATTTCACTTTTCTTTTTTTATTATATTATCAATAACCAGATCACAGGGAGAGAGAGAGAGAGAGAGAGAGAGAGAATCATCTAGCTGCCCTGCTAAGAGGTGCACCTAGAAAAAAACTTTCCATTGAAAACATTACAACATAAACTACAACTGTAGCAAAGTATAACAGGCAAAAGCAATCTCCTTCCCTAAAACTAAAAGGGATGTGCACCCTAATATGCATATGCCCTCTCCACCCCTCTAGCATGCTAGACTTGGTCAATATCTGTACCCATCTAAGCAATGTATTCATTTGAGATACATATATTCCCTTTGACCAACATAGCAAGATGAACACAGTAACCCTGCCTCACATATTATCACCCTGTATAATGAAAGAAAATAAGTAATCCTCAATCATTTTGCCTGCAACTTCTATTTATTTCTTCAAGGGGCAAGTTTGTCAAATTCTTTCAAATTACCAAATTCCAACATGAATATTCAGTTGATAGTTTTCTTGCATGCAATGGTATAACAGATTGATCCAAACTTGTTTCTGCTTCAATGATAGACAATAATATTAAATTTCACAAATAATATTTCATTTTTATCGATAAAGAAAGAAATAATTGTTGAGTGTATCATTTCATTTACATTATGGCTTTCTTGCATGCTATTAACTGACCGATCCAAATTTTCAAATTCTCTGCTGACTGCTATTACTGAAAAAAGCATGAACAATGTGAAATCATACAAATAACACTTCTTTCCCATAAGCAGTGTTTTAAAAGCACAAGGCACAGAGGTCATTTTGTGCCTGAGGCGCAAGGCGCAAGGCAAGGCACAAAAATACAAAATAAATGCTAAAAAATCAAAAAAAARTCAGCAAATTCAAAACAAATGCCAAACAATTCAAATAAAATAAAAAATATTAAACATAATATTAATAAAAAATTAAGTTTTAAAATAAATGTTTTAAAAAACCTATTATCTAAAATTAAAATACATAATTAAAGCATATTCAAATGAGAATTTAAAAATAAAATCAAATATATAAAACATTTTTTATCAATAATTTTGAAAAAAAATCATTAATTACAAATTTTAGGATACAACAAGAAGTTGTGAAAGAAATCAGCTTAGTAAGCTGACCCCAGACAGAATTACAAATGTGCCCAAACCATATGTGTTCTTTGAACCCCTTGCTTTGCTAAGCTATCTACCAAACTGTTGGCAGATCTCCTAACCCATCCCACCTGGATTGACATGTTCCTTGACATCCATTTAAATCTTCGGAAATCATTCTTCAAGCATGTAAAACCTCTAATCTCTATTTTCACTCAATTGCATTACTTCAAGTAGCTAATGTAATGTAAAACATATTACATTCCTAATTCTACGAGCTGCCTTTGTGCCACGCCCCTCGAGGCAATCCCAAACAAGTACGTGTTAGGGTCCTAAATTCTTAGTTCTCACACAAAACCAAATTGGGTACATTATTTGCACAAGATTTGGATTTGCAGGCATTTCTTCAACACTATGACTTGCACAATTGCACTTTATCCCTACCTTCATTTTTTCCCACATAAAGTGGAGGCCACTTGCACCTGAATACATATGCACCTATTTGCACTCCCCTCATTTGTTCATTTGCATTTCAATTCTCAAACAAATGGAGAAAAGTATAACTTGAAGCAATAGTAAACCAGAATTTGCACTTCCATGCATTTGCACCAGCACAAATGAAGACTGCAAATGTGTGTGTATGCATGTAGACTTTGAAYTGTGAATCCCAGGAGTTTTGCCACAATTCTTCCTGTTGATCCATCTTCTGAATTTCATCACATTTGTCATTAGCATATTACCATTCCATGCATAAACATTACAATTTATCAGATCCATACCATTCCAATCAAATTGATTGGAACCTAGTTCCATACTTTGTCATTTTTCCTGTTTTCAAGGATCAAGGGTATTTTTTCTCTTTTAATAGATTTGGTAAAATAACTATTTATTTGTATTTAACAAAAAATAAATAATCATTTTGTTATTTAATAGTTATTTAAAGATCCTTTGAGTCTATATTCCATCAATGGTAGGTTGAAGAACCTATTATGCGTGAGTAAAATATCTTCAAATTCAAACTGGGTTATGTCATCCATTGTTTATATCATTGGCTCAATGGAGGATTGGGATCTTTTATTTTGGGCTCAAATATATATAATATTATATATATATATATATRTWTRTRTWTRTATATATATATATATATATATTAATAAAATTCCTCAGTTAATATACATATTATATGATTCTCTTAATGAAATTTCTCAGTTAACTATCAAAGAAAATAAAAAAGGATCGCAATGGTGTTCACRCAATGGAATCACACTAAAACTGGACTATCTCACATTCCCATAACCAATATGATCAAAATGGGTAAAATTCACGAGGATATGGGGATTCATGCTGACGATGGACAAGGGAGCAAAAGAAAGGAAAGAAACAGAAATGAGAAACTAAATAACTGATGCAAATGCTTCACTCAGAAGAATGACTACTTAGGGATGTGACTGGTTGCAGAAAAAAGAACATATTTTTTGTTTAAAAAACAAAACCCACCAAAGCAACATTGCACAACAACATAAATGGAAAACTTTTCTCCTGCCTGTCCAATATTTTTGATATCTACCTTTCCAATATTCATCCAAGACTGAAATGYTAAGTTGACCAAAAATGGTTGGCAAAGACTGCAGAGAAGGTTTTCCTCACTTAATGGTGGAAAACTTGAAATCCGGAAGATCTCAATTTCAAAAATTGCAGTTSAGTGACCATTTGACATAAATAAAACACATAAGAATCTTTGTGTTGGGCAGTTAAAAAACATATCCACCAAATAAGTGTGGTATTCATGTGCTTTGATGGATGAGTGGTAAAACTAGAAAGGACATGGTCTGAAGCTGTAGATAATCAAATTGTCGGTATAAGATCTAATTTACATTCGAAATGACGACAGGATTCAAGTGAACGTACAGAACTTTTTCAGCTTATCACTGCATTCTGAAACCAAAGGAGATAGAAGAATTAATACATAACAAGTGTTTTTCTTGCTGTAAATTCCCTGGTCTGAGTTACCAAATACCGCGGAACAGCATGCATGGATAGAAGAGAAGAATGATGTGAAACCCTAGAGAAGGTAAACCACTAAACCTGTTTTAGTGCATTCCTATCTCCACAACACGCAAGATAGAAGAGAAGATGAATGGAAATGGAAGTAGTAATTCTGATCATTCAAAATAAAATCAATGGCAAAAATCAGAAGAGAAAAGAGAAGGCCTTTACTCAAAAGATTTCATTTTTCATTATAACAGATGGTAAATTTCACAAGTAACAGTATTCATCGAATTCGATGATTTCAACATGAACACCAAGGCCCAAAATCTAACCAACAAATCCTCTCTCACAAGTTACAGCTTCAATAACGGAATACAATTGAAAAATAAAACCCTAAACAGCATCTACATCACCAGAAAACAAATCAAAACTGTATTTTCGAAGGGCAAATTGAAGAACCTTCATGAGTTTCAGCAGCCTGCTGCGACAGCTTGAAATTCACCGACGATTCCGGCTGCAAACTAAACAAATCATCACGATCGGCGTTGAACGGAACTCTTGGAAACCCACTCGGTCCCACCAGCTGCAGCTGCTGCTGCGGGGTCTGCTGCGGCTGCGGCTGCCGCGCATCGCTCTGCAACGAAAGCATCATCTTAAAGAAAAAAGAAGAAACCCAAGTGAATCAATGGCCGGTGAAGATCAAACAGAAACCCTAAAATCCGCCACGATCTCTCATCGAGAAGAAAGAAAACTCGAGGAGGAGATGCTCCTCGAAAGATTAAAAACCCCAACTTTTGCTTTTCGTCCTCCTTTCCTTTTACTTGTTGAATTGGATTCAATTAAAACTACGAGAGAGAAATCAGAGTCCCTCTCCTCGTCGAACTCTTTGTTTCGGCGCTTCTCTGCAGCTAAAAGCGACTTCACATTAGCATTAAACATCGATCAACTTTTTCACCATCCAGAAACCTTGACCGTCCATCTCTGAAATCGAATCTACCGCGTTAGATATCTGGCTACCGACTGTCTGTCGAACACGTGGCGAAGGAAGCCTTGAGCACGATAGCAAGGATGTACCCGGAAAAGAAGATTCTGGCATTCTACGCCATGTGATGAGGAATGTAATTCATCTACGCCGTTGGCTTCGGTTACCGGATCTATCTAGAATCTTCAAATTTTATTTTAATAGAAAAAAAGATCTGGAAACAGTAAATTATATTCTCTTTGCATTTTCCCCCCTCCATCCTTTTTGCGGAAGGGACGAAAGAGAGACGTGCGGTCACATTATACCACAGCACCTTCTCTTGTCGGGTAGTGGTGACCGTGCCGCAAGGGATATTAATCAGATCCGTGCATCGGCGGTTTTATAAAATTCCACTTTAGTATTCTGAATTTTGGATAGTATCAAATTAGTATCAGAAATTTTAAACGTGTCATTATAGTACCTAAACTTAAAAAAATTGTCGAGTTATTTGTGAAAAATATCAAAATTAACCTTCAAAAGAAGATACTATTTATTGTCTTTTATCTTAAGACTAAACCAGTTGGTTATCTTCAAAGAAAAATAGAGAAAAAAACATGAAATGTAATAGAGGGAAAAAATCACTTAGAGCAAATAAATAATTAGACAAGAATGTGTTTCAGATCTAAAAGTAGAAGACAATGACTTCATTAGTCTAGAATCTCAAACACCTCAACTARTACAGTCTCAAGGTAGAAAACAATGAGCARTGTCTTCTTTTAAGGGTAGTTTTGGTATTTTAAACATATAATTGATGGTCGATTAATGGCAATGACCAACTTGACACTTCTTGAAAGTTTAGGTACTATAATGATATGTTTGAAAATTTGGGTACTAATTCGACACTAACCCCAAAGTTCAAGGTACTAAAGTGAAATTTTCGCTTATTATTATTTATTATAAGTAAAATTGAGGAATGTTATATAATTAAGGGAAATTTTCACTTTAGTACCTTGAACTTTAGGCTAGTGTCAAGTATCCAAACTTTAAAATGTGTCAATGTACCCAAACTTTCAAAAACTGTCAATTTATTCTAAAATCGTTAACAAATGTTAAGTGGAATGTGAAATGACACAAATTCCCTTTGGACATTAATGTTGCGCAAATTTGGTTGCTCCTTACT